ATGTAATATTTAATGACATGATATTTATAAATAAAAAATAAATAAATAAAATGCAAAATAATATATATTAATAAAATTTGTATCAATCACTCATTAAAATGAATATAATTGAATATCTTTTATATTTTTTTTTAAATATTTATCTTCACATATCACGTCATTAAATATCACATAACATAAGCAATGATTAGCAAATAACATTAAAATTTAATAATCAACGAATATCAATTTTATAATAGAACCAAAATTTTGTGTTATTTTTTAAATAAGGGACTAAATATCTTTATTTTAAAATAGAAAATCAAAATTATAAATTGACAAAAATGAAGAGACTAAATACAATTTAGCTAAATATGAAATTGATAAAAATGTACACCAAAGTCAAATTATTAAAATATTTTAATTATTTATTTATTTATTTATTTATTATTATTATTATTATTATTATTAACATTATTACTATTTGTGGTATATAGATTTTATTTTAATTTAGTATTTTTATTTTAGGTATACACTAAAAGCCAATATAATAGAAAATGTGTCGCCTTTGTTAAGCATTGAAAAAATGAGATGAGAATAAATAAAATAATAATAAATGCAATGTGTGGTTAAAAGAATGGGGGGAAAGTAAAAGTGTATGGTAAGAGAATGAATAACGAGTTAAAAGAAATAATGAAAAAAGATGTCACAAAAAGAAATGAAGAAAAACAAGGTTTAGATTTATTCATATTTTAGTTCTTTATTTTTGTCACTAGTGGTAAACATTTGCCAAAAAAAAAAAAAGAATTTCTACGGTACCCTCTATAAAAAAAAGGTATCGGTACTGTTGATGATGTGTCACTTACGTGTAAATCCAAGTCATTTATAATTTTTTAATTATTTAAAATTCACATCCACGTCAGTTAATATGAAGTTCACATTTTTTAATTTTTTTTCAGAATGTTTGCTTCGTGTTTCTTCCCGGGCCGGCGAGATTGCAGGGCATAATAAAGAATAGGAAGCGAGGTGATTCGAGCGTAGAATAGAATACCGCAATCCAGAGAGAAGAGACCTTGATGCGAAAAGGAGGAAGTGGAAGAAGGCAGAGTTGGGTAGCGCAGTGCGATATTGGAGAATGTGTTTTGGAAACCCTAAGGGAATGAAAAATGGTTATACAGTGAGAGCAAAAGGAAGATGCGATGGGTAGAGAGAAGAGGAAGAGGGAGGAGAGTGGTGATGGGAGAGAAAAAGAGCAAAAGCCAAACAGGGATGAGTGGAAGTTGCAACGCAAAAAGAAGGGAAGAAAAGTGAAGTTTGGGTTTGGATTAGAAAGGAAAAGAAGGAGAAGATGAAAGTGTGTGAAAGTGAGGGAGAGAAGGAAGGAAGGAAGGAGGGGAAGTGAGTACTGGGTAGAGAGACTACAGAGAGACGATTGTGATTATAGGAGGGAGACGGAGGGGAGAGGAGAGATCACGGTGCTCATCGTATAATTATAAAAATATTAATAAAAACTTAAAAATAAATAATATAAAAATTTAAATAAAAAATAATTCTTATTTAAAAAGCTGACATAGCATTTAAATGATGTGTACATACACATTAGATACAGTACCAAAATCCTCATTTATCGGGGGTACAGTAAAAACTCCAAAAAAAAAAAAGTAAAAAACATATAAGAATATTTACTACATTTTCACTCGCTCTTTATTTTTATTTTAAAAAAACCTTGAAAGGCATATTTGCCCGGGTAATTGATTTGTTTGAACTTAACACATAAATGAAACCTACATCACAAGTTTCATTTGGTTGAATCCAAATGTAGTAAATACTTTCGTACTATAGTTGCCAAATTGGAATTATTTTATCACCGAATATTCAAAAAGAGTATTACCCAGTAAACACGTATTGCTTGATATTAATTCCCTAATTACTCCTTACCAATGAAATCTCTTCTATACATCTTATGCACTCTATAATCAACCATATATGTGATTTCATGCTAACTAGATTCGGGCAAGCTAATCACATACCATTACCCTCAAGGCAAAGGTGCCCCCTATGTCTCTCAATATTAAGAATGAATATAAGAGTTTTAATCAATAAATACATATTGTGGATTCACCATTACATTTGACAAATTTTCAATGCACTATACTAATTTTAAATTTCTTCAACTTGTACACAACTCATAAAAATAATTTTCAAATAAAATCGTAACTTCCTATACAAACACTACAATAGATGTGACTTTCCTACTCAACCTTCTTTTTTAATGGTTGTGGGCCAAATTACTAAAAATGTCTTTCTTAGCGGGTAAATCAAGAACTAATTGCTATTAAAAAAGGCAAACATTCCTAAACGATTTAAAAAATAAACAAATAAGTAAAGAACATATATAAAGGGAAAAGCTTATACCCTTCGTTGGTTTTGGTTCGACAAAGTTGAAAAGCTAGTTAAAAGTTGTAAATTAATTGAAATTTCACAAATTAGCTATTAATTGAAAGTTATTAAGTTAGTCTATTGAATTATAAGTATTTTATAAAATTATTTATCGAACATTAGTGAAAAATAGACCTTTTAAATCGATTTTTTTTTTTACCTCCTACATCAATTGTTTAAAAAAAATGTTGAAATTAATAATTATGCATTGAATAATGCCTTTTTTTTTTAATATTAATAAGGGGGCTTAAAAGTCCAATAATAAACTATAATCCACGAGAAAAAGAAACAGCATACCTATCAGTTAATAATAAAAAATGCATCCAACTTAACAGAGAGTTAAAACAACGCATTCCTTCAATGAGAGTTAATCCTAATTTAGCAAAATTATTAACTACTTAATTTGCTTCTCAGAAGACATAAACGCAATCTAATTCAAAAAAATCTCCCGACATCTTGACAATCTGGTTGAGAAGAGAGTAACATGGATGTATTAAGGGACACCCATCATTCAAGAATTGAATAGCAATATAGGAGTCAGATTCTATTATAATGTGATAATGTAAGTATTCATCCTTGATAATCTGTAGTCCATGAAAAATAGTCCAAAGTTCGGCTTGTACAACACAGCAATTCCCAGTCATTCCAGAAAATGCTAGTATGAAGGTTCTATTACTATCTCTCAATACATTACCACAAGAAGCCAAAGAATTATTATAAAATGCTCCATCACAGTTAAATTTCAGTATACTGAGAGGGAGTGAGACCCATCTAATTACTGACATGTGTGAATTGTTTTGAGATGAAACATTAAGTTGTCTAAGGTAAAATTTGTCATTTTTTAATTGTTATGTATGTTTTAATTTCAAAAAAAAAAACTTGTATTATAAATAAAACTCCAAGTTGATTTATTCATATGATTCACAAAACAATCATCCAAATTAATATCTCACCATATTTAATAAAAATGACATTAAAATCAACCAAAAGTTACTCCTAAATTAACTTTAAACATCTACAAAACAACATTTAATTATACATTTCATACATAACTACTAAACAACTATAATTTGAGCTATAACAACCTAAAAGCATAAAATTGTAAAAGGTAAACATATAAAATTATAAGTATTTTTAATCTAAGAGTATATTTGGATAAAAAAAATTAAATGGAATATTCATTTTAGAATTGTAAATATTTTGGAGTAAAATTCTTTATTTGGATGAATTTTTTTTAAAAAATTTGAAATCCAAACATTTGTAAAATTTCTTAAAGTAGTATAATTTCAAATTCTTTTAAAAAATAAGAATTTAAAATTCTTTATATTTTTTTCTTTCTTATCTCACCTATATATTTTTTAACTCTCTTTTACTCTTATATTTCCTTTTATCTCTCTTCCAACTCTCATACTTTATTTCATCTCTCCCTTCTTTGCTTTCTCTCTCTCTTTTTCTTTTTCATTTTCTTTTATTATTTATTGAATATTCAAAAATATTTTTAATTAATAAATACTATCTAATATTAATTTTTTAAATTATTAAATATTTAAAAATTAATTAATATTTATTTTTATAAAATTTAGTATTAAAATCTTAATATATATAATCAATTTTAATCATGGTAAAAATTAAATTATCATATTCAAACTAAGAATTTAAAATTTTAAAAATTTAAATTGACTTATCAAATCAAAATATTTAAAAAATAATAATAATTAAAACTAATGTAATTAAAATTTTAAAAATTTAAATTTCTTAAATTTTTCATTAAAACACACCATAAAGAAAATATCTTCTCATTTTCTCATAAGACAATATAAGCAGTCATTCTAAAACAATTAGAACAAACAATAAAATATTAATGCATAATGTATCATAAATATTAAATTACAATTATTTTAATTATCAATGTAAAAATTATATTATATACTTTCAAAAATCAAGGATTACTTACTACTTTATCAATTAAGTATTACTTTATTAGAGATGGTTAAAAAATATTTTGATTGAATCAAGTATTACTATATATTTCACCTCATCTTGTTCTTATCTCTAATAATACTCACATTAATTACGGTCTTCATTCAGTGCACATCACATACTAACAGTCCTTATATGTGTCATCTATTTCATTAAAATGAAAATTAAATTTAATAATATAATAAACGTTATTATAAAAGAGAATAATTAATGCATTAATTAAAAGATGATAATGTTAGTGACTCACTTCAGGAGTAATGAAAGTAATGTTCTTTCCTATTGCATTGGTCTGCCACCCATAATATAAATATGACTTATTCTCTGCCAGTTTCATTTATAGTTGAGAATTGATTTTTACATTTTAATTTTATAATGTAAAGACACGTTGTAATGCAATTTTCTTGGTTTAAAATTGACTAAATAGACTGTCTATGATCGCAGAAGCCTACTTTAAAGGTCAACTAAAGAAAAGATAAAATGTTTAATAAAAATATGTTCATATGTATTCAACATTTTCACACTTAATTTGACTTTTCAAGATTAACCCTCTATAAAAGGCTAGATGCATACGACCCCATTTTCCTCACTCCACATCACTACAAACAAAAATGGATCGTGTCATGGCTTTCCATGTCTTTGCTTTCAGTTTATTCACGGTGATCGTTTTGCTCTTTCACCCGGCAAAGTGTGGTGAGAAATGATATGTTAAATTGAGCAGCAGTATTACAATTCAATTCAATCAGCATTTTAGTTAGAAAAAAAAGGAGATTAATCATTTTGTTTATTGAACTTTTTGCTTTTCTGATAAGTGAAGATATTTGATTTATTATTGTTTATTTTAGTTTAAAAATATGTTCCTTAACTTAATTATTAATTAATATTTGTGCATGCGTCAATTAAGTGCAGATGATGAGTATAATTATGATCTTTCAAGCAAGAAAGGGCCACTTAACTGGGGAAATATTAAAGAAGAATGGTTTTTGTGTAAAAATGGAACAAGGCAATCCCCTATCAACCTGCAGGGAAACAGGGTGAATGTGGTGTTCAATTCTTCAGGGATTCAAAGAAACTATCAACCCGCCAACGCCAACCTTATTAGTACGGACCATGACGTAATGGTAAGCAACCAACTAAATATTTTACCATTATGTGTTTTTAATGCTTTAAAACATTCCAAATTACATTTTCTCTATAAATCAAAATTAAATATGATTTTTAATTTGCGTGAACATGAACACGATCATTTTTAGTATTTTAAAAATAATTTATCTTACTAAACATTATTAGTATAAATGATTTGATATTTGTGTGTTTAAATTAATAATTAAAGTTTGATTTTAAATTTATATATAAAATTATAATCAAAAATATCATTTTATCTAAAGAAGTTGACTTAATGATAATGAGCTATATTTTTTATTAAATAAAAAAAAATCATCTTCTTTTAATTTCTCATTTTTAGGAATGTATTATATGTGATCTTTGCTTCCAAAAAAAATTATATTATCCAATTTATAGAATTAATGGAATGTGTTATATTATATGTGATTGAAAATATTTTTAGAAATGTGTTATATGTAATTGAAGAGTATAATGATTCAATAATAAAGGGAATATCTTCTTTAGTTACCATTTTAGGTTCTATATATTAAATTATTATATCTTTTTAATTATTAATTTTTTATAAAAATAATTACTTACTCCATTTCTTTTATTTTCTTTTTAAAATGATGTTAATCTATATATCTATATATATACTAATTAATACATAAAGGAAATTTGCTCTTTAATAATATTTTTTATCTCTATATTTATTGAATTATTATATTTTTCAATTGTTAAAAATATAGAAAATTAAATTTTAATAATTATTCACTCTAATATTTTATTTTATTTTAAAATAAATATTAAGAAGTGTTTTTTTTAGTAATGATAATTATATGCTATGACGAATCTATGAACATACTCCACACAGTATAATGTTATCTGGTAAACATACATATAAAAACTTAAATATTACATTTACATAATTCATTTTTTATTTTATATTTTTTTTTTTGCAAAATACAGGTAAATTGGACTGAGAACGCAGGATATATTATAATTAACGGAACACAATACCAACTCATACAGTGTCATTGGCATTCTCCCTCTGAACACACAATTAATGGCATAAGGTTCTCTCTCTTTTTCTTTTATATATTTATCACATTATATGTAATCGCATACAGAAAGAAACACATTACATATGCTTTAAAATTTTCAAATACTAATGAAATTGCAGGTATGATCTAGAGTTACATTTGGTGCATATAAGTTCAAATGAAAACATTGCAGTGATTGGACTTCTTTATGAGACTGGGAACCAAGATCAGTTCATATCAACGGTAAAGCCAGGAGAATTGTGTTTGTGCCTGTGATTGACTCTGTTCATTAATATTTAAATGATAAACAATTAAGATAACAGCATCAAAAGGAAATGAATAATATGAATAAGTACTTTATTTTTTAATTTGAGTAGATTTGTTCTTTATGAAAAACATTATTATTTTTAATTTGATATATAATTTTTAATTATTTTTTAACTTATTTAAAATATAAAATTTGTTTCATTAAAATTACTTACACGAAGTGGCGAAGATTCTTAAGAGTGAGAAGGAATCATGTCCAATTTTTTCTTTAAAAAAATTATAAACTTTTTTATATGCTACTGTAAAATATTTAAAGTACATGTATTTTAGTCTTTTAGCCCCCAATTTTTTTTTTAGTAAGATCTATCACTGCTTAATGAATATTAATTATTGGATGCAACTTATGTTTAAATAAAAAATAATTTATTAAATATGATAAAAATGTGTAAAAATGAGTCTAAGGAATAACTAGAAAATTAGAAAATATATATAATTTCAGAATTAACATTTCTTAGTTTCTCTTGAAATATACTTTTATATGTTTTTTACTATCTTTATAATTTTTTTGAGTTCGAAAATCAAATGAGTTTCACAATTTTTATATAAATAAATTTTATAATACAAGTTTCACATATTAAATTATCTATAGCTTCATTTAATAATGTCATAAAATTAAAAATAATTATTATATTAAAAGGTCTAAATTCATCTAAATTTAAAATATAAAAAAATAAAATAAATATTTTAAAATTTAAGAAACTAAAATAATTTTTTAAAATAAAATAATAACCAAAAGTATAAATTAGTTTATAAAATTTTATTAATAACAAAATTACCATACACAAGGATATATTAAAAAAATAAATATAATAAAGAATTTAGTAAAAATTCACATATGAATCATTAATGACTGATAGTTCATTTTTTTTCATCTATTCATTTTTTTTAATTATTTAACTCTCAATTAAATTAGTTTTATTCTATATATAAAGAATTCATACAATTAATTAAAAGTAATTCTCTATTTTATTTCATTTGTAGATAGAAGATGATTTAAGATTGATGGCTGCAAACATAACCAATATAACACAACTAGGTGTGGTTGACCCAGAGCAGATAGCAGGGATAACAGGCGACAAATATTTTAGATATAATGGTTCTCTTACAGTTCCTCCATGCCATGAAAATGTTACATGGACCGTTTATACTAAACAGGTTCGTTTTTCTTTTAATATTATTAATTATTCACTGTCATTTTTATTTTTATTTTTACATTTTCATTCTCACTCTCACTCTTTGACTCTCTATAAAATGTTGAACCTAAACTTCATTTTTAAAGTATATAAATAGAATGAACATAGATGGAGAAAAAAGTAGACGGAAAAGATGATAAACATAGTAAATTATGTATTAAAAAAAACAAAAATAAAAACATTATATATATTAATAATAACTCTTTCAATAATATTGGGTTCAGAACAAAACAGCTGGACGGGAACAAATCAAGTTGCTTCAAGCAGCCGTCAATGGGGATGTAAGTTGTTTCAATCTTCTCTATTAAACATTTCTCATTACTAAAATCTTTTATATCACACCACAATCAATGCATAAATCACAGGGTTGCCACAATTAAAATCTTAATTTTTACTAATATATATGTTCATTAAAATATAACTTACATGTTATATAATATTTATTAATTAAAGTTTTAATTATGATAATTTATATATTCAAATATATTTGTATTATAGTTTTAGTTTTATAAAATTAATATTTATGTTATGCATTATATTAATCACCTTTTCTTGGTTTGGTTGGTCTTGTAGGAAACGTACACGAATTCTAGACCTTTGCAACAACTAAATAATCGCTCAGTGCTACTCTACGTACCTAAAGATCGCGAAGGATACTGAAGCAAGAAGTTGACATTTAATTTGACCATGCAAAACATAAGCATAAAATAAAAATTGCTTCGCAACTCCATTAATAATAATAATAATAATAAAATGTTATGTATGCTAACAAGAATAATTAATTAAATAATTATTGTACTAACTTTTGTCTAAACCATGTATATAATTTTGTGCTATTAATTTTTTATCTTTATAGACAGTGGAGAATATCTAGACATGCACCAGCTTGTTAATTAGTTCAATCCTCTAAACACATGAAATTACTCTTCTAAAAAAAATACTAATTCCTGGGACATTATAGACAAATTTTTATCAGCCTATATTAAGTTAATTAATTTTAAAATTATAATTAATTTGTTAAAAATTCTTTCCTAAATGACACTTTTCTACATGTAATTATTAATAATTTTTTCAAAATATGTAATTATTAAGGAATTATATTTTATAATTAATTATTAATGAAATATACTATATGTTTATTAATCACTTATTCTGACTAATATTATATGTCATCATTAACTTTGATAGGTGGCAGAATTCATTTTCTTGCTGAGGAAGATAGAAATATATTATAAACTCTGATAGATGGTCTGAAATTGTTTGGAGATGTAACTGCTCATGTTTCATGTATAATGGCCCAATTTTTTTTTAAAAAAAAAAAAATATATATATATATATATATATATAGAA